TTTCCGCAATGTATTTTGTGGATGTCGGTCTAACATGATGGCCTTTAAGCCATTTTGAATTAACTTTCGTATGGTGTATGATAATGGTGTCCTATTTTATTCTTTTGTATGTCTAAGTGCTTTTCTGAACACTGCTTGTTTAAGAGACTTTCCTTCCTCCACCTGATATTTTTCACTTTATTGTCATATGTTACTGTGTCTGGCATATCGAATACTCTCGGTAGCTTGCCGGGCACTCCGAGAGGGGCGGAGGAATCGAACTCGGGTCGGCCATGTTGGCTGCGTGCAAGGCGAACGCCCTACCCGCTGTGCTATCGCTCCAGCCCATATGTTAAGTGAAGGTTTATGCCTGGGCTCTCATTTCTATACATTGGTCTGAAAGCCTGCTTTTATTTATATACCACACTATTTTGATTACTGTAGCTATAGAGGATAACTTAAAGTCAAGAAATGCAATACCTCCCCCCCTTTTTTTAAATCTTTGCTCTGGTTATTTGGGGATTTCATGGCTTGATAAAAATTTTAAAAGTGTTGAATTTATATCCTAGAAGAACGTCATAAGAATTTTGATGAAAATTGTATACGTTTTGTATAGTGATTTGGGTTAAATGGTTATTTTAATGATGTAGGCTTTTCCAATTAAAGGTACATAGGCTAATTTTCCATTTTATTTTTTCTTTTATTTTTTGGGATAGTGATTTATAGTTTTTGAATAATTGTGATTTTCAAGTTCTTTGTTTAACTTATTCTAGGTACTTGATTTGAGGGAGACAGTTATAAGTAGGGTTTACAAAATTCTTTCTGGGGTGCAGAGCAATAGTACAGTGGGGCAAAGCACTTGCCTTGCAAACATCTGACCTGGGTTTAATCCCTGGCATCTCATAGGGTCTCCTGAGCCCACCAGGGAGTGATTCCTGAATACAGAGCCAGGAGTAACCCCTGTCCACCGCTGGATGTAGGCTAAAAACCAGTAGTAGTAGTAGTAGTAGTAGTAGTAGTAGTAGTAATAATAATTTAGCACAGTGGGTAGGGCATTTGCCTAGAACGCGACTTACCTGGGTTTGATTCTTCTGTCCCTCTCGGAGAGCCCGGCAAACTACCGAGAGTATTCCACCTTCACAGCAGAGCCTGGCAAGCTCCCCATGGTGTATTTGATATGCTAAAAACAGTAACAACAAGTCTCATGTTACTGGTGCCCGCTGGAGCAACTCAATGAACAACAGGAGGACGGTGCTAAAGTGCTGTTCTACACCATTTTTCACATACAAACATTCAGCAGATTTCTGTGTACTGATTTTGTAGTTTGAAACTATAGGCTTATTGTTACTAGAAGCTTTGAGGTGAAGTTTATGTTTTCCTGTGTATAATATCAAATACCTGTATATAGAGAAAGTTCTACTTTTATCTTTTTATTCTATCTTTTCTAGCTTGAAACCCATTAATTTCTCTTTCCTAGCCTGAATGCTATGGGTAGGATTTCTAGTACTCTGTTGAATAATACTGGTGAGTCTTGTGTCTGATCTTAAAGGAGAGATTTTTCCCCAGATTTTCATATATATATATATATATATATATATATATATATATTTTCTACCTTTATAGAATTGTGGCCTGGAAAGCTATCTTTGTGACTTTATGCCCAGCTCTTTCATGCCCCATCATTTGGTCTGTCATAGAGAATGTTCCATATGGTATACACTGGTGGAGAATGCGCACTTACATTTTTGAGGGTAGAGAGCCTTATTGATTTTTTTATGGGGTGGGGGTCTGCTCTATCCAAGGGTGAGTGGGACAGGTATGTTAAAATATACTGTTATTGTGTCACTGTGGTTAACTTTCTTCACACCTTTCAGTAGTTGGCTTTTGTATTTTGGGGCTTTCTTATGTAGTACATAGGTTAATGAGTTCATAATGTGTATGCCAATCTCTTTGTCACTGCATAATGTTCATTATAGTCTCTTATCTCTTTTAGTTTTAAGTCTACTTGGTCTGAAAAAATAATGACCACACCTCTTTTTCCAGGCTACTATTTGCTGTATGGTTGTTTTCTAGCCTTTTACTTTAGCCACTGTTTATCATGACAGCTACAGTGTATCTCTTGTAAGAAGCAGAAGGTTGAGTTTTGTTTTCTGATCTATCTTGCCATCCTGTGCCTTTTGATTGATGAGTTCAGGTCATTGATGTTCGAAGACTATATTATGGTTTTCTTTTCTTTCTTTCATTTTGTATCTTGGTGGGGGGGGGGGGGGTGGCAGGGGTGTTTTTGGAACAAACCCAGTGGTGCTCAGGGCTTACCTCTGGCTCTCTGCTCAGGAGTCATTCCCGGCATGTCTTGAGATCAAGCTGCATGCAAGGCAAGCACCATATCTCCGTACTATGGATCCAGACTCTGTATTACCATTTTCTGTATAGATTTTGGGTGTTTGACAAGTTTGTCTTTGGCCTGTTTAATTTCTTCCCCTGTAATTTGATATCTGCCAGTTATGTACTACTCATTTGTTTCTCTCCCTCCTCCCCCTCCTCCTCCTCCTCTTCCCCCTCCTCTTCCTCTCTCTTCTCTTCCTCACCCTCCTCTTCCTCCTCCTCTCATGCAGTTTTAACCCTTTTGGGTTCCTAGCTTCTGTTTGCTATTGAGTTCAAATTAAGCGAGCCTTTAAGTTCCTCTTAAGAGGACTCTCCTTCTTTCTCACATTTTCTGTTTTTTCATTATTTCACTATTTCCGGGTAGTATTTCTTTGCTTTTCTAAAGTGGCTATTTAGTACTGGTTTGCGAAGCTGATTTCATAGCCATGATCTGCATTAACTGTTTGTTTGTAAAGCTTTGTGTCTCTCCTTGGAATGTAAGTGGTAACCTAGCTGGAGAGAGCACTCCGGTGTGCATGCCCGTTTCGTTCAGTGTTTCTCCTATATTAAACTTTCCCCTCCTCACCTGTAGAGTTTAATTTGATTGCTCTTTTTGTGAGTCTTATGTGAGTTTTTGCTTTGAAATTTGTTGTTTTCAGTGTTCTGTTTATGTCTTTAGCTTTTGCCACTTTAATTGCAAAGTGTCTAGGTTTTCTTCTTAGGGTTTATCATGACATCTCAAACTCGATTGTGTTTATTTTGTTTGGAACTCCCAGCTTCTTGGGTCTGGGTATATGCGTCCCTCTTCAGATTAGCTATCATTTCTGTAACCTGTGATTCTTCCTCATTTCTTTCCTTTCCTCCCAGAACGCCTGCGATGTGAATGTTATTCTTCTTGATGCTTTCCATAGTTCTCTTATGCTTTTTCACTTTTTTTTTTTGGTTCTTATTTGTGTTGGTTCATGTACTTTATCCGAGAAATATTTGCTAGTTCTTCAGCTTCTACCATTCTACTGTGATAAGTTTTCTGTTTCACCTCTGGTGTTTTCTAGTTGTACGTCATTTCTTTTTGTTATTGTTGTTGTTGGGGGAGGGGGTGGTATATCTGGAGGAATTGGGGGCAGATGCATGCTCTTGGTACTGTGTTGTTCTCGGGATTGAACCTGGAACTCCAATCAGTGATTTTTGGCCACAGTTTCTGATACATTTTCTCTCCTTGTTGGAACTTTCTTCTCTCATTTTCATCCTTTTCGTGAACATCCTCACTATTGTTCACTTTGAAGCCTTCATCAGGAGGTTTAGCAGCACTTGAATAAAGGGCTTATTTACAGACATTTGTCTTTATCCATTCAATCAAAGAGGTGAGTCCTTCCACGTCTGCATTCAGTTTGGTGTCAGGTTGGGAGGGAGTTAGGAATGAGTGTCTGGTTTTGTGCTGGTTTGGGTGGCAATCTGGGGTTCACACACATTAATTCTACCTAGAGACTATGGTTCAGGGGCTTTAATGAGTGGTACTTAGGGAGCCACGTGGTGCTGAAGTTTGAACTAGGGTCCTGAATCCTTGACCGCTGAGTAATCTCTCAAACCAAAATTTTCTCTTCAGATAATTTAAAATGTATGTATATGTGTAAGAGAGAGAGAGAGAAAGAGAGACAGACGAAACAGAGTGTGTGTGTAAAACAGAGAGAGAGAGAGAGACACAGAGAGAGAGAGAGAGAGAGAGAGAGAGAGAGAGAGGCAGGCAGACAGACAGAGAGTATCTCCCAAGAAGTGCTTAAAAGATCTGAGTCTATATCCAGTGATTTTCAGTCAACTGGACTGACAGTTCAATGCAAGGTCCAAGGATGCAGTGCTACTCATGCCCTGCAATACCAGGGATTACCCAGCCCACCCTGGCAGAGCGCAGTCCTCCAATTCCATGCTTGAAGGACTCTGTGGTGCCAGGGGTTGAATTGAGGTCGACTGCATAAAAGCATGAGCCTTAATCCTTCTACAATCTCAACCCTAATTCGTTACTCATTTTTTAATTTTCAGTTTTTCTGTTTTTAGTGAAGCAAGATAGTTTTGTTGAACAAAATTTACTTAGAAAGATGAGGTTGGGGGCAAGAGGGGAGGAAGGAAATGCACATTCAAGAGAGAAAAGACGCTTGAAGTAGAGAGACAGTTGAGCTAGCCATTCAAGGGCGCACCTGGGCTTGAGAGGGCAGGCTCAATCCTGATTCATTTTTCAGTGAAGTGTTGGTTGTGGAACCCATGGCAAGTGCTCGCGGATTGCTCCCTTTTCTCACCGTCTTGTCCCCATTTCCCCATTCCCCTAATTGTTTTTTTTTTTAAATGCATTTTGTGTCACACCTAATGATATGCAGGGGTTACTCCTGGCTCTGCACTCAGGAATTACTCCTGGTGTTGCTCAGGGGACCATATGGAATGCTGGGAATCGAACCTGGGTCAGCTGCATGCAAGGAAAATTCCCTACCCTCTATGCTATCACTCTTCCCCCGCCCCAATTCTGAAGCTAAGGATATCTTGCGCTAGGACAGGGGGTGGGTGACAGGTAAGTGTAAGGTAACCCCGCAAGTACACAGCCTTCGGAAGAGGTACACGAGAACTTGGATTTTGCTCTTTGTCTTGAGGGCTGTTTTTCTTTCTCTCCACAGTGCTCCACGGGAACCTTGGATTATATCTTACAGCGTTGCCAGTTAGCACTTCAGAATATCCGTGAGGAGGCAGACAATGGTGATGTCTCTTTGAAATCTTTGGAGCCTGCGGTATTGAGACAAGGAGAAGACATCCACAATGAGGTGGGCGACTTGCAGAACTCAGAAATTCTTTTTGAAGTCAGTTTTGTTTTAGGTCCAACCCAAGGGTAGTGCTAAGGGTCTTCTCTGAAAACAATTTTTTTTTGTTTGTTTCTTTTTTGTTTTTTTTTGGTGGGGGGGGTGTCTCCCAGATTCCCACAGGATCCTCCTGGGGTACCAGCGATTAAACCTGGGTCTCCACCATGCAGAGAATGTGCCCTTTGCCCTCATATCAGCCACGGGGTATGGGGTTCTCTCCTGTCTACAAACCACTACCATAGATTCATATGAGTATAATAATAGACTTTGAGGTAGGGGATTGCGATAGCACAGCGGTAGGGCGTTTGCCTTGCACGCAGCCAACATGGCCGACCCGAGTTTGATTCCTCCGCCCCTCTCGGAGAGCCCGGCAAGCTACTGAGAGTATCTCGCCCGCACGGCAGAGCCTGGCAAGCTCCCCGTGACGTATTCGATATGCCAGACACAGTAACAACAAAGTCTCCAATGGAGACGTTACTGGGCCCACAGGAGCAAATCAAGGTTGGAGACAAAAGATTGTTTATTACAACAGCATCCATAGCCATGATGAGCAGTTTTATCATATCAGTTCTCTAAGCCTCTGTTCACACGACATGGCAAGAGTGTTCCAGCTAATGCATGCAGGAAGGGACGGTGGGGAAGGGGGAGGGGTGTATTTTCCATTGGGAGAGGAAGCCTGAGCTAAGGGGTAGATCTTTACAATGGGTATGTAATTTCCTTGTCCTTCACTCCAGTCAACAGACTATCTTTATCCTATAAGTCTGTTAGCAAATCCTTTCTTTGTTCTAGAAGGGGAGCTTGTATCTTCCAAGGCATTTTGCTATGCAAGCATTCTTGAGATCCGAAACGAAGGGCATTTAGTGTCTTTCCCCCAAGGTTTGTGGAAACATAGGCATCCATGAAGAATAGTTCGTCATCCAGGAAGGACTGACAGAGTTGAGGGCGGGCCCTAGGAACAAGTGCCAGGGCCTTACTTTTATTTATTATTGACACTCTACATCTCAAGATCAGCCAGTTTGGGCCACAGCTGTTCGTGAGCCTTTCCACCAATAGTTTCTCTGTTCATTTTTGCTTTATCTGGATTACTGATACTGTTAGCTGTTTACTAACACATTTTTAAAGATCGACTCATTTTCACGTAAGCACAGTTCTTTAAAAGGGAAGCTGGTTATTATCACTTTATGTAGGAAGCCAGTATCACTAGCTGAAAGGAAAAGAAACCAGAACAACATTGAAAACAGAGCATGGTTTCTACATTCCTATGGATATGTTTGCCAAGTGAAAGTATTGAGTCTAATCTTTTTTTTGGGGGGGGGAAGTGGGTTGGGGTAAAGGGGGTACACCCAGCAATATTCAGAGATTATTCCTGACCCATTACTCAGGAATTGCTCCATTACTCCTGGTGGAGCTCGGGGGAACGTATGGTATGCTGGGTGTCAAACCCGGGTGAGCCATGTGCAAGGCAAAAGGCCTCCCTGTCCCTTAGCCAGGTTTTTTAATTCTTCGTGGTAAGAAGGACGTTAGTATACAACTTCATAAATTATCAGAGCGATAGCACAGTGGGTAGGGCGTTCGCCTTACAAGCGGCCAACATGGCTGACCCGAGTTCGATTCCTCCGCCCCTCTCGGAGAGCCCGGCAAGCTACCGAGAGTATTCGATATGCCAGACACAGTAACAACAAAGTCTCCAATGGAGACGTTACTGGGCCCGCTCGAGCAAATCGACGATCAACGGGAGGGCCTTTACCTTTACCTTACCCTTAAAATGCTTAAATTTTATAACAGGAAAGTTTTACCTTAAAAAATGTTTATTAAGTAAGTAAAGGCCCTCCCGTTGATCTTCGATTTGCTCAAGCGGGCCCAGTAACGTCTCCACTGGAGACTTTGTTGTTACTGTGTCTGGCATATCGAATACGTCACGGGGAGCTTGCCAGGCTCTTCCGTGCGGGCGAGATACTCTCGGTAGCTTGCCGGGCTCTCCGAGAGGGGCGGAGGAATCGAACTCGGGTCGGCCATGTTGGCTGCGTGCAAGGCAAATGCCCTACCACTGTGCTATCGCTCCAAGTGATAGAGAAGTGGTGAAAATTAGCCAAGTGATCCAGAATGGTTGGAGATTGTTATCAGTCGTTGATATAATTACAAGGATTGGCGGAAGATTTGGGATACAAAAACATTTCATTCATCTTTTCAGAAATAATTATTGGGGGGCTGTAATAACAGAAAAGAGGGTAGGGTGTTTGCCTTGCACGTGGCTGACCCGGGTTCGATCCCCAGCATCTCATATGGTCCCCTGAGCACCCTCCAGGAGTAATTCCTGAGTGCAGAGCCAGGAGTGTCCCATGTGCATTGCTGAGTGTGACTCAAAAAGCAAAATAATAATAGTTATTATTACTATAATAATAAATATAATATAATAAATATTAATCACTTGATCACTTGACATCCCATTATTCATCGATTTGCTCGAACCAGTATCATCTCCATTTGTCCCTGTGGTGTGCTAGTGTAGCTCAATGGCATCTGCTCGTTCTAGGAACACGAAGAGCCTCAAACTGATCGTTCAGGGTCTTGACGAAGAAGTCTGACCATCTCGTAGGTGGGCGGCTACACGATCTTTTGATGTCCTGTGGAATCCAGTTGGTAATGACTCTAGTCCAGCGGTCATCTCCAAATCTCATTACATGTCCCCCCCATCTGATTTTCGACACCTTGGCAAATGAGACAGCATCCCTGATTCTTGACCGTCGATGGAGGTCGGACCTCCGGATTCTTTCTCTCACTTGAGTGAAGCGTGATATTCCAAGCATAGCTCTTTCAGTTCCTCTTTGGGAGACCCAAATAGCGTTCTCATCCTGTTTTCATAGGGCTCACATCTCTGAGGCGTATGTTAATGCAGGAAGAACAGTGGAATTGAAGAGATGTGCCCGGAGCTAGAGTTTCTTCATCCTCTTAGCTATTTCTTTGACGCTCTTGAAGGAGTTTCAAGCTGCTCTCTTCCTTCTGTGCAACTCAGGTGCCAGGTCATTCATCATGTTGACTTCTTGACCTAGGTACATATAACTGTTGTATTCAGAGATGTGCGTTCCATTGAGAGTGAATGGAACGTCAGGAACGAGACTGTTTCTCATAAACATTGTCTTCATGAGATTCAGTGGTAGTCCGACCTTTCCACACTCACGGTTGAAGTCAACCGGCAATTGTGCCACTTAGTTAATATTTGTTGTTATTAGAATGGTATCATCAGCGAAGCGTAGGTGGTGTAGTTGCTGACCATCTATCTTCACTCCCATTCCTTCCCATTCTAGTCATCACATGACGTTCTCGAGGGTGGCATTGAAGAGTTTAGGTGAAATGGTATCACCCTGCTGAACCCCTCTCTTGACATGGATGATCACTTCCTTGTAGAATTGTGTGATCCTGATAATGAATCCGTAATATAGCTCATGGAGGATCCCGATGTATTGAGTTTGAATGCCCTGTTTGGCTAGGGCTTCGATGACCGCCTCAATCTCAACAGAATCAAAGGCCTTCTTTAAATCAGTGAATGTTAGAGCGGCATCTTGAACTCCCAAGAAACTTCAATGAGCTTGGTTATCGTGTGGATATGGTCCATTGTGCTGAATCCTTTTCAGAACCCGGCTTGCTTGCGTGGTTGTCCTTCATCTAGTGTTCTGCCAATCCTATTCAGGATGACTCAAGTGACCAGCTTGTAGCTTGTAGATGACAGACAACAGAGTCGCCACGCTCCAGGACACTTTCTGGACACTCAGGCTGAGACTCACTCACGAGTGAAGCCCCACAGAACCAGGTAAGCGGAACTCTGTGACCTTGGACTCCAGGCTCAATGGGACCCAGGAACAGAGATTCTCTCCCTGCTCCTACCAATCTCTCTGACTCAGGGATTAAACCCAGAAGCCCTACCCTACCCTTCCCTGTCTGCTTCCACCAATCTCCAGTGACCCAGGGATTACACACAGAAGACCCACCCTACTGGTATCAGATAAATACCTCATCTGGCTGACCTCCGCTACTTCCACTACCCAGCCGCCGCCACGCTCAGCTTTCCGGACCGTGCGGCGGTGAACAAATCATAAGACACTTAATGCCCATCTTCCAAGATTACCGCACCGTATTTGATGGGGTTCAAGTATGGTTTGAATCATGGGAACAACTGCAAGGGCGATTAGAGGCCACCCTAAAAGCTTCTATCCCTCTTGGAGAGCCTGGCAAGCTACCAAGAATATCCCTGCTGCACAGAAGAGCCTGGCAAGCTATCTGTGGCATATTCAATATGCCAAAACCAGTAAATATCAATATAATTATTATTATTATTATTATTATTATTATTATTAGGCATGTGCCAGGCACTCTTTCTGGGTGCTTTAGGATAAATTGGTAGATAAACTAGATATTCTAGTCCTGAGAGGTAGCTATAAACAATAACTGTAATGACATTTACTAATCAGGTATTGTATTAGAAGTTATGGCACAAATGCTACAGGAAAACAGCACGTTGAGAATCAGAAAACAGTTCCACTGAGATGCTCTCCCAGCAGATACTTGTAGGAGCTGAGCAGGGGAGCCTTGTGGCAATTGGGGGCACACCCCGCGGATATCTGGGAGCAGTGTTTCCGGCAGAAGGAGCAAGTCCTGCAAGACGGGGAGATGGCGCATGACTGGAATCTTGAGATGGACTAAGAGGCCAACTGGTGTGAGCAGGGGGCGTGAGACTTGGAGTCACAGGAGATGAGGTCACAGATGTCACAGAGATGCTACAGGGTGCTGGAGGGGGACACACAGGTGGTGCGTGTCCTCCCTGTACTCAGGAAAATGGAAGCCAGGATGGATATATTTTCATTTTATTTTATTATTTTTTATTTTTTAAGTATCACACAAGCTGCTTTGTGAAGCAGTGTCATAAGCTCTGGAACCACAGGACAAGACATTTTCTTTTCAGGTCAATT